CTTTGCGGAAGCGGCCACTGAGGGCGCGCCGCTCGCCAGCCAATCGGCGCGCGCGGCAGTACCGCACTACCGCCGCCGTTCTATCTTTCGAGTACACTCGTGGCACGCCCTACGACTGCCTCCATTGTCCTTCTTTCCGAGATTCTCTTCGCGAGGAAGGATGGCTCAGAACAATTATTTCGGCTTTGCCCACGGTGGGACGCAATATGGGTACGAATTCGTCTGCATTATCATTATCACTAAGTAGCTAGTGTTAAGTCGAGCGAGGATTCGTGGCCTCGAGCGTGTGCCTGCGATAGTGATAAGAGACGTTCGCGTTTCCGACAGCACGCGTCTGAAAGGTACGGCCGGCTTGGCGGCCATTATTCTCGCCGCGAGAAATTAGCGTCCCGAGTCGAGCGTCTCCCCCGAGGGGCTCCCTGTTACATTTTTCCAACGCCGTACTTATCACCGTCCGCGTTGCCATTGCGTGTCGCATTTCCTCGCGCGAACGCTCTATCGACCTCTACTAGTCCGGTTGTGATAATTTTATTTTTTAATGTTGCTTCACGAATAGGGCGACCAGCGCCGCATATCAGACCGGGCAAGCAGGATACGCGGTAACTCCGGCAGCTACCGCTGCCACGTATATTTTTTTTTCCGGTTACGAGACGTATCAGGCAGCTGCTGCTGCAGCCGCAACTGGGACAACGTACGCAGGTGGGTTCTACGTGCGAATTCCGCATGGTCACGTTCGGTTATCGATCCCTCTATGAAAGAAATTTGAAATTTCAAAATGTACACCTATTGTTAACGTACTTTGTACAAAATTCCATCTTTCATTGAATATAAACTTTTTTTTAAAGATTTGAACAAGTATTTGTGAATATCATGGGGAGAGAAAAAGTGCTAATCGGGTTCAGGTGTAGGGGAGCTACACTTGCACTCAGTTTCCTCTATAAGTTTTCATGTGGTACAATGATCTACCATGGACAATTCTATTTAACATTATAGGTCTGTTTTTTGTGGCTGAACTAGTGTACACTTTTGGAACTTAAAGTGAGATAGATATACGTTTGATATTTGTTTAAAGCGAGAAAGAGAGTTCTAGAACAGTCTAGTGCAGGAACAGAAAACAGACCATAGATAAGCAAGGATCAAATGATTCCATGAGTGTTAAATGGAACGTAGTCATAGTGTAAACCGGAAATTTACTGAGACTTGTAATGTATTCGATATGCTAACTCGACCCGATTCTGAATCGATTTGTCTAGTTTTTTGTATTTTTTGCATAGTTTAGCTCTTTGTAATTAAAAAGAAAAATTATTGATTTAGAATTGAGTCGAGTTATAAATTAAATACATTATTAATAGATGCTTGTTTCAACAATTGGCTGATTGACTATTGGAGACTATAGGTCTCCAATATTTACGTTACTTGAAATTTTTGCAATTAAAATGAAATATATTTAAATGTTGAAAAGAAAGAAAGCAAAAGTGCTGAGTGCAAAAAGTAGAGCAACGCGAGCAAACATGTTCCAATGTATACTATCAGCACTGAAAAACTATAATATACATAACATTGAATTGTAGATTTTGAATACTGTGGTATATATCGGAACATGGCCTGAGAATGAATGACAAGAAATATTTCCATTTATTATTATTGTATTACATTTGTTGTACAACAAATATAATGTTAGCTTAAATGCTTTAAATAGTATTTTTTGTTTCTCGTATATTATCAATAATATAATTATTTTCAAATAAGATAATAATATCTTACAATACATGTTCCTTGCAGCTGCCAATCCCGGTACTGTAGCTCAAACTTACGACTACGGTTACGGACGAGCTGCTCCAGCAGCTACATACGACGCGACTAAAACCTATTACCAACAACCAGCAGCAGCTGCAGCAACTTATACTACTACTGAAACACATTATCAGGCTGCAAAGCCTGCTTACAGCACGACCAGTGCTTATACTGGTACTGCTAGACAAGCCACTACTACTGGACAAGCTAAGACCTATCAAGCATCTGGTACGGCTTATCAGCAATCAAATCCTACGCAGAGCGCTACTTATTCGTCAGGATACACAGCTCCAGCTACGCCTGCTGCTACTCCATCAACTGCAACAAATAGTAAGTGTGTTAACTTTTTCTTATACATTTATGTTTAAATATTTTCGGTCCTCTCTTGACCACTAACTGTGACGTAGAAACTAATAACATGAAATTGATCCTCTCACAATACATATGAAAAATGCCAAAACAAATTTTCAAAGCTCTGCTAGCATTCTCGATCGTAATAACAGTTTGAGGAGTTAGCAGAAGTTATAAATTTCATTTTATCTACTCCGAAGAATGGAGCACATTTTCAAGTACATCAGTTTCCCATCGGTGTTTCGTCTTCGTGGAGTCTTCGTAGTTCGTCTTTTGATGCATCTTGAAATGAGTAATAGTAAAAGTTTTGTTCGCCGCGCGAAAGTACGAATGGTTTGGGCCCCTCCAAAGTTTGAGGTTTCAATTTCATTTCCCTTAGAAACGGCGAGTACAACGTATTCCGGCTACGACGCAGCGCTATATAGCGCTGCGACTATGTATGTAGCCCAACAGAGTGCAAACAGCAATTCCACTAACCAGAAGACTGGAGGTTGGCAGGGCTAC